TATATATATAATACCAGCAACCACCACGTGGTGTCCAGCTGCAAGTGGCGAAAAAAAAAAAATTGGATAAAATCAATACATTTAATGACGCAACTAGTGAAACTAAGAATTCATTTGCATGCTAAATATGCAAAAACAATAAGAGTAGATGAGATTATGCGTGCGCGAAATAAAGAAAAAAAATATTACTTTAGTGATGAAAAACTATACAAAAAACTATTGAGCTATTGCTTGTTGGCAAAAAAAAAAATTTGAAGAGCGTGACAAGTAAGTTCGAGAAGCCGTAAGGGAGAATGAATAATACGAATCCAACAAATGCAGATATATAAGGTAGGAAATTCAAAATCAATAATTTAACCAAATAACTCCGCGTGGCAAAAATTCAATTAATATACCTACCAACAAAACTATGCATAGAAAATAAATTACCAAAATAATATACTTATAACTCTCAGTTATAAATAAGGGTAGAAATTGAAACAAAAAATTGAAGAAAATAACACCGCGAGTGCCAAGATTATCCCTAGCATACTAAGCAAAACTTACTAAACTTACAAGGTTAGCTAAAACTCGCATAAACAAGGATAGAACTTAAAAAATAATATATAATATCTAAATTCTAAATAAGGGAAACTCTGGGCTTCTAAGCCGTTTTGCTCCTGCTGGTGCCAGTGGCTGACGTCGACGCTGACAATGCTTGGCGACGCTGACGTTGTGGGCGTTACCTTCCTGCTACCGCTGAGAATGGCGACTTCGCTCTGATGGTTTCTGACTCCACTTAACGTCCACTTGTGTGTTTGTGTGTGTGTTGTTCGCCGGTGTGAATGTTGTTGGTGTAAAAGGGAGGACAGGTATATCCGATGCGTTGTGTGTGTAGTTGTTTACTGGTGTGTGTCCGGCGACGGAAAGACGGTACTAAACCTGGCTGCAGGGGTTCTTCCACCCACTCCTGGAGGTCCTTTCGCAGGTTCCCCGCTGGCGACCTCAGATTCCCCAGACTTTTTTTTATTTTAATTATTTTTTCACTCGTAACTTACGCGCACAATTTAAGAAACCATTAACTATCTGGCCGCTACTTTCACAATAATCACGTTGATATGCCCTGACAGCCTTTTATAAGGGATGACCAGGCTGAGCAAATGGCTCATCTTCCCCGTTAGCCCACACTCAAAAGCTCCCCTTTCGCAGAATCACACATTCATACACACCTACTCAGAACTACCTTATCGTTCGCTTGGCTAGCAGAGTTTCGCAACACACTACATACAAATACTGGGATTTGGGTATTGGGAATGATTTTACTTTTAGTTTTGGCAAACGCACATGCATATACACACTCACTTTATAGCAAGGCAGGCGCTACAAATATAACTACAAGACATTACAGGCGGCTCCATAGGAGCGTTATTATTTGAGGGTACGAACGTGGCGGCTGCACCCTGACCATAAGACATCGCAGCACTAGGTGGAACTGGCATATACATTGTAGACGGCGGACCAGGTGGTACTGCAGGCGTGTGACTATCGCGCGGCGGAAAGTTGGTGCTAGCTGACATGTTGGCCGCCTCTATTGGCGCATGGGTATTGAATGGGGCGGATGGTGAAGGAGCATAACCATAAATAGCCATAATGCTCGGCTCGGCGGGCTTATAAGCGACGGGCGTTCGCGCAGGCAGTACTGCAGACGTGTGACTATAGGGCGGTGAAACGTACGTATTGGCTGACGTGCACATAAAAGGCGAATAATCGGTCGTTATTGATCTGGTGTACATATTGTCCGATGCACCAGTGGTCAGTGACATGTCAGGTGGCGCAGGTGATATGTCAGATGACGTAATGCCAGTCATAAGTGGCATATAAGTAATGGGGGACGTATCAGGCAGTAATACTGGCGTAGTAGTAGTAAGCGGCATGTCATGAGCCGCTGTTGTATTAGTAACTGCCGATATAGTATCAATAGTGGCAGGCAAATAAGTGTTCGACGGCAAAATGTCGACGGTAGTTGACGTAATGGTACTAGACGACAAAGTGAAAGTGGTCGTAGTCGAGTTATCTAGAACTCCGGTGTCTAGAGAATCCGTATTAGGCGGCGATGTGATTGCCAGACATCTCGGAGCATCCTCAGGCTGGCTGCCTGCTCCTGGCTGGAACCGGAGGCTACGGCGAGGTGTATGGTGAATCATATTTTCGCAGGACTTAGCTGCAAACGAAGCTGCGAAATAAAAATGTTGCTGGCCCTCGCAGAAATGAATGAAATTGAACGTACAATGTTGTATCTTGTTTATTTCTAAAGATATGAATAACAATGCATTAATAAAGCAAGTTGGAGGATGGTTCCGTGCGCAGAAGTGGAAAACTTTTGACTGCCATTCACCTGGGAGTGGCCAGAAGCGATTCTTGTGCGTACGGTTCAAATCGCAGCTCACAACGTCCGGATATTTATATCCACGTATCCTCTGGGTAGCAACCAAACACCCGTTTGGGAGCGAGCTAAAGTGAGAAGGCGTAAAACTTCGCGTGCGCTGGGTTTGGGTCCCGCCACGTTAAAACCCCGCCCAATGAAAAATACCAACAAGCCTCGGATGAGACCCCCTTTTTCTGATGACGACCACGGCAAACGTATAAAGGACTATGATTTAAGGGTATGCACCTGGAATATCCGGACCCTTAATGGGGAAGGTGCCTCTGCCCGGCTGGTTGATGTCCTCGGGAAGACAAAGGCTGACATCACCGCCATCCAAGAAATGCGATGGACGGGGCAAGGTAAAGTAAGCGTGAAGCCTTGCGACGTCTACTACAGTTGCCACGTAAAGGAGCGCAAATTCGGTGTTGGATTCGTGGTAGGAGAGAGACTCCGTCGCCGAGTACTGGCGTTCACCCCGGTGGACGAACGTCTAGCCACAATCCGCATCAAAGCTAGATTCTTCAACATCTCGCTCATCTGCGCCCATGCCCCGACGGAAGAGAAGGATGAGGCGTCCAAGGATCTCTTCTATGAGCGCTTGGAACGTACATATGAGCGCTGCCCCCGACACGATGTCAAAATCGTGCTTGGCGATTTTAATGCCAAGGTGGGCAAGGAAGGGATCTTTGGCGCCACTGTCGGAAAATTCAGCCTCCACGACGAAACGTCCGATAACGGACTGAGGCTGATCGACTTCGCCGGGGCCCGAAATATGGTAATATGTAGTACTAGGTTCCAGCATAAGAACATCCACCAAGCTACATGGCTGTCTCCAGATCGAAAAACGAGAAACCAAATCGATCATGTTGTGATAGACGGAAGGCATGCTTCAAGCGTTTTGGACGTACGTACACTCCGAGGGCCAAACATCGACTCGGACCACTATCTTGTTGTAGCCAAGATACGCACCCGCCTCTGTGCAGCAAAAAATGTGCGCCCAACAATGCAAGGAAAGCTTAACGTCGAAAAGCTGCAATCACAACAGACGGCCAATTTATTCGCCACTCGACTCACAC